CAGTATTTCTCAGTAATTAGAATATTCCTTAATATAGTGGACTGTGATGTAAAGCAAGCAATTCAGGGTTGTATGCTTATTTATCTGATTCAACTACATTAGCTAAATGTCAGTGTTTTTGCCAGCAGCCTATGCTGCAGCCATCAGAGGGGTGATGAGTCCTGCTTCCTCAGCTACAAACAAGGAACAGACTGGGGTGGTGGGGAGGAGACTGCTGAAGGCATAGAAAATGCTGTATTTAAACAGTTGTGTTTGCTTTTCTGCTAAAAAAAAAATAAATCTTGAAGATCTCCTTTCTGCCAGAACACTGGCACTTTGCAAACGCTGCCAACACAAACCCCTGTGGGCGAGCCAGCTGACATCAGCTGACCAAGGACATGGGGGAACTTTGGACATTTTATCCATTGCTCCTCAGACAGACAGCCTATTGTCCTGGCCATCTGGCCAAAACAAGCTCATGAGTAAAAGCAGAAGCTGCCTATGGAAGATGTGCTTATGTCAGTGCAATCTGAGATACACAGCACCAGAAGAGAAGAACCCAATAGGATGTGATCTTTCAGATATTTCCATTGGAAATGGTCAGCTCAGTCTGGCGATGAGGTGATGAGGAAAAACAGTCTCATGTCCTTGCCTAAATTAAATGAGCTGGACAAATTCTGTATAGCTGAAGCAGGTGTTTGTTTGGACCACAAAAGTTGCTACAGAAACTGGCTCCTCAGCAGGAGAATAAACACTAGGGACTGAAGCTGAGGTTACAGCATCTTTAGAACGAGATCTGTGCACTCAGATTCATCTCAGACATGGGACAGGAAGTTCTGTTTCCCAGAGCCAAGTTAGCCAGAGCTCACAACACAAATCTAATGTCCTTTTTATGACTTTATAACCACTGGAAGGGAAAAGGGAATACATGGGGGGCAGGTAAGTCAGGTGATACCTGACTGAGCACAAAGCCTTTTGGTACAAAAATTAACAATGCCAAATTTTTACAACAAATCATAATCAGCAGAAAGATCAATACAACTGCATTGAGCAGCTCTGCTGTTTTCAGTCTAGCCCTGGGAGACATCCAGATGTCTTGTGTTATCAGGCCTTACCTTCTGGAAACTTTTCCATGTCAGATACTTGCAGAACAAGCTGAGGCCATGGGAGCAAACTCCAGTGAGATGTACTGGCTTACAGAAGTCTTGGGTGCTTCTATTCTGTCTTTGTATACTGAGCAGGCTATTCATGCTCTCCTATGAAGGCTGAGAGAGATAGGGCTGTTCAGCCTAGAGAAGGGAAAGGCTCTGGAAACACCTTAGAGCACCTTCCAGTACCTAAAGGGGGTTTACAGGGGAGCTGGAGAGGGCATGTAGTGACAGGACAAGGGGGAATGGCTTCAAAGTGACAGAAGAGAGACTTAGCTTAGATGCTAAGAGGAAATCCTTTACTGTGAGGATGGTGAGGCACTGGAACAGGTTGCCCAGAGAAGCTCTGGCTGCCCCATCCCCAGAAGTGTTCAAGACCAGGTTGAACAGGACTTTGAGCAAGTTTGGTGAGCTCCACACTCTCTGTCTAGACCTGTTTGGTTCAGGGCCAGTCCCTGCAGAGGAATAGAGGCCCCACCACCAGCACAGGCCATGACAACTGAGAAAGAAGCTAAAGATTCCTGTGAAATCACACTTTAAGGTGTGTAGCCTGGGTTTGTTGCTGGGAATATTCAGTTTGTAGCACTGTTGGGTGGCTGGTGGGTGCATTGGTGAGGCAGTTTGAGGGGGGAATGCCTTCATTCATAGCCTGCAGTTTACTTCCAGTTTTGAAGCCTCTAAACATGACCAGCCTCTTCTGCAGTATTTTGTTAGCTGTGTAAAACTTGGTGTGTTTGAAGCTGAAAAAGCATGTGAAACAGAACTTCTACTTGAATTCTTTTTTAACTTGTCATATATATACCTGCATCTTAACCACTATTTTTTACTTCTACACTCCCAGATTCAGAAGGCTCTGACTTTATGGAAAAACAGAGCAAAAATCTACCCAGAGCTGTGTTCCCATCTCAGTAAGACAAACATATTGCACAAACATGGGCACTTCTTGGAGCACACAAAAACTGTTGCCTTTCCCATCACTCAAGCACGAGCTGTTTTAATATGGGCCCAGCTGTAATAAAAAAGAGTGATGTCCATGGCAATTAAATCTTCGGTAGTTTAATATTCAGATCCTCAAACACTGCAAATACATTTCAGACAGTCTTGTTTCCCAGGATAATAGCTACATAATTAGGGTAAGCCTTTCACACTTTCTCTTTGATCCCGTTGGACTTATTTACCAAAAATCATTTGCATGGATGTGCCCAGCAAATGTCTTACAGAAGTGCTTGTAAGAAAATTAAAAGCTTAATATAGAGATTCTCTCTCCACTAAGTACTGATTTTTATTAAAACTGGGAGTTGCTCATACTTCACCCCTTGCAGCTTCTTTGAATCCTCTGTTTGACGTTTCAAAAGTGCCGTACAGGTTCTAATACACATTACACAGAAAGAGCCATTATAAAATTCCTGACTTTTTCTTGTTTGCACGACAAAGGGGGAATGGCAAATCCTCCAATTGGACCAGATAATCACTCCCCTGTGAAAAGCCTGCAATACACATCCTCTGTTTTCTTCTTAGCTGAGCTTCAAGTATGTTTGGTCAATAATTTTATTTTGGGTGTGAAGCCCATAAATCACCTTCCAATACACATTGGACAGTGGAGAGTCCGGGTGGATTTGGCTTCAGCCACAGGAGAAATCACATCCGGATGCAGGAAAGCTGGGTGCTGCTGGAGCAATTAGACATTTTCATTTCATGTTGTCATGGTCTTTTGAAGAACGCTCACTGCAGAATAGGACCACTCTCTGGAGCCAAGATTAATTGGATGGATAAATAACTGTGGGATCACGTCTTCTAACATAAGAGAGAGACCATTACAAATCCATGGACTACAGTTTTATCCAGGTGGCCATATAAAACCTAACAAATTCCCTGCTGGAACTGAGCTGGCCAACACTTAGCCCATCTGCAGAAAACTTTGTCAGGTATCTGAATGTTGCTCATGTGGTTTCCAAGCCTTTGACACAGCTCATTGTGTGACAGTTCTTTTGCCCTGGCCTCTGGGAATCAGTAATGTGCCATTTGGCTGGAGAGTCCTGAGGGAAGAGCTGAGTGTATGGAGCTCTCCTAAAGGGCTGAGGGGGTCTCAAAGATTTCAGGAAAAACCTTCCCTCTTATTCGCAAGTGTGGGAGTATTTGACATGAGCTGAACTTGAAGCTGACAAATGAAGTGGATATTTTTCACTGCTGTTTTTGTCTTGGGAATGGATGTATTTTGAATTAATATACAAATGCATGTCTGAAATTCTTCTCTGGAGAAAGATGCTACACAAAGTGCAGGATTAAAGAATGCACTGCCTTAGGCCATGCACAGGCTGTTACTTTGTAGTCTGTTCCATTTTCCTCTTAAAATTCAATTTAGCTAAGTAAGGTGCCCTTTTAACATCTAACGGAGGCTTTATCATGTTTAAGTAGACAAGTTTCTTAAAAGGTTGTCAAGACAAAGTGAGCAGTAACAGAAATGTTGAGTGGGGCTCTTTCAGACAGCTTTATTGCCTTCCCCTGAGTACAAAACAGGCTGCCTCCCTCAGCTAACACTTGTTTTAATGAGGGATGAGCCACAGGGGTGATTTTGTACAAGTTCATTACATTGCATCCTCCAGCCAGACGGTCCTCAGGGCACACCATTCAGCCTGGGCATTGGATGAAATTGGACCAATTTTAAATCATTTACAGAGGCATATAAAATCCAAAGGGCCTTTGATGCTGAAGGCATTTGTATGTAGGCTCAGGTATGTGGCTGCTGGAGGGGATGAGAATCTGGCCCAAGTGCCATGCTCCTTCATGCTTTTATCAATCACATTTTATTTTTTCAACTCAGTTCTCCTGAGATTGGTGCCAAAAATAGATTTCCACATCTTATGCTAGCAAAGGCCAGGGAAGAAAAGGGTGTAAGTTTCCAGTTTAAATGTTACAAGGTAAACATCCAGCCTCCTCACCCCAGCCTTCAGATCAGCTTCACTGTCTAGAGCCAGGGCTCTATTGTGGTTGTTAACAGCTTTCAAAATACTGATATTCTTTATCCATGCTGGGGAACAGTGAAGTGGTTTCTCATGTTCACTGGGAAGTGATCTGCCTTTACATAAAGCTTTCTTCTTCTAAGCATGAGTATTATGAAATCCACAGGAATCCATAAAGAGTGATGGGACATTTTTCTAAAATGTCACACCCGTACATCTTCCACCTTCTGTGATTCAGAAGCAGCATAAAAGGCCATAAATCATTCAACTGCTGTGATTCACTGCCCTGATTCATACACTTGATACAAATACTTAGAGATCAAAGTGGAACCTAACCCCCACCACACCCCAAGGATTTAAATTATTTTTCAGTGCTTGCTATAAAGATGGACTTCCAGCTAAAACTAAAGCTTCTCCTGATTGATATTGGCTGTTTAAAGTAGCAAGTTCTCAGCAGTAAAGATTGATGCTGCCTTTAAGAGTCATATGGGGTAGTACATGCAGCAATGTATTCTGCAGCTGTGCTTCCTTCCTAGCAAGGCTGAACAGGGGACACTTGTGGCTCAGGCGGCTTCTGGGCAAATATTTACAGGGAATTAAAAAACAATGGAAATTTTTTACCCGTTAAGGAATCTGGGAGCCCCCTAAACCTTCTTGTATTAACTTTGCAGTGGATGAAGGTGTTAAACTGGCATGTGTCTACCAAGAGGGGAGTGATCCTTTTAAGTCCTTTGCTTCATCCCCACTTGTGAAATTTGTTGTGCCAGTGGGACGAGGCTGGCTATAAAACCCCGGCACTGCGGACATCCCTCCAGCTCGGGCAGCCTGCCAGCACATCTCTGCCGAGAGCAGCCCCAGGGAGATCCCCCCTTCATCTCTGCCCGGCAGGGAACTGCTTCGCTGACGGGGGAGGATGGACCTGAGGTGTGCCTGGATGCTCTGCGTGCTCTGCCTCGTCCTCACGGTGCAATCGTTTACCCAGGAAGGGTTCAAGGAGGTGGTGCTGAAGCAGCTGGGGCTGTCCGAGGTCCCTAAACTTCATAAGAGAGACTTGGTGGATCTGGTTATCCCAGACCACGTGAAGAACAAGTACATGTCCATGCTGAAGCGGCAGAGGGTGAAGCGCCGAGCTTTGCCGAGCCTGGCTGGCATCCTCAGAGGGATCCCGGGACACACAGGTAGCGTTTCTGCTGCTGGCAGCATCCCAAGCACCCTGCTGGGCCAGCGGAATCTGCCGGGGCTCTCCCGGCCGGCCGCAGAATGGGCAGAGGCAAACCTCCGAGGGGAAAGGGGAATGAGGGTCGGGTTTGGCTCCAAAGCTCAGCTGGGCAGAGGAGGTGCATGCGACAGCATCGGAAAGATTGACAAGCACTCTTTGCACCCGGAGAGGGGGTCCCACCCCCAAAGGACAGGATGCTGCTGGAGCGTGATAGAAGCCTTGGTACCCTGGGAACAGTCTGGGCAGGTGGGGGGGAAAAAAGTGCAGGCCATGTAGGTTTTGGGTGAAATCTACAGCAAGTCCTCTAATAGGAATCACACATCTTGGAGGATATTTCACTCTCATCTCTTTCTTGTTTAAGTTTGTTTTTTACAGGAAAAATTATCAAGGACGAAAATAGCCATACAAATACTATAGTGGCTGTACAAGGGCACTTAGAGCTTACTGTGCTTTCAAAGGACATACACAGCACCCGGGGCAGCAAATGAAAATACTTTGTCATTCGAAGTGGTGCAGTTTCCTGCTCTCATGCCCAGCACTGGCACAGAGGTGTACACCTTTTGAGGTGTGCTCAATTTGAGGTTATATTATGTCAGAGATTTAGTTCTTCCAGACTGCAGAGACTCAGACACAGGAGAATAATTAGGGCATTTGCAAGACATTGATTTAAGTATACATTAGAAAAGCTGTGTTTAGCAGCTGTCTCTGCTACACATGGGCTCGACTGGGAGCATGGAAGGAGTGTGTTGTGATGATAATTGTGCATGAAATGTGGTGGCTTTGCTCAGCAGGATGGCAGTGACAGGCTTTCTTTTTTGTCCCCAACTGCACAGGTATGACGGGAGAAGTCCTCTACTCTGACACAACCACACGCCAGAAGCTGATGTTTGACATGGAGGGCAGAATACCTAAAAACAGTGAAGTCACAATGGCTGAACTGAAACTCTTCAAAAAGCCTCTGGACAGAACAAACCTTCCTGCCAAGCAGTCTCACAGGCCTGTCTCCAACGCCAGAGTCAGTGTATACTGGGTGCAGCAGCACCATGATGGTACCAACAGGACTTTCCTGATAGATTCCAGGTAAGAAAGGGGCCTCTGCTGGAATTACAGTATTTGGGTCCTCTGGGGTGCATTTGGGTATCATGTGGTTGTGCCTCAGCTCAGTCTGATGGGGTTTACATCTGAAGGGATGTAAATGTGATGTGATACAGACAGTTTATATGGCCTCTAAACCCAGAATGAGCTTGTAAGAGATATTATGCTAAGATAGCAATATATGATGATTCTTTGAAATAATCTATTAAATGATGCCATGTACTGCTACCACTTCCCCGCTAAAATCCTCCTCCTGGTCCAATTCTCTGTCACTAACTCAAGTGGGTTACTCTGATGGTATTCTTTCCACTGGCCACTTTATTAGCTGGTTTAAACAAGTAAATTATGCAAAAAGCATCTGATTGTGCAATGGTGAGCTCTGTGGAAGTTTTGCAACCCTTGAAGGCAGAACTAGACTAGACTAGAAACTTATGGCTCTAATGCAGCTCAGACAGGAGCAGGTGGGAGCCTGGTGTTTACCAGGCTATTGTCACCAATACTGAGGTTGCACATGATCCTGCAACACTTAGTTTTTTGTTCGAGCATGTAGAGAGGGTTTTTTCTGTCTCTTCAGTGTCTGTTAGATCTGCATGCTTCTTTTTGAGGTGGCAGTTAACTGCTGTGGGTGCTCACCCAGAGCAAAAATGATCATGTAATCAAGGCCTGTGGTAATCTACGGGAAGTAAATTATTCTGCTGCAAAAACAGCACTGCCAGCCCAGGATTTATCTGGTAGGCTTTTCTAATGCCAGCCCTTGTCATACAGGCTGGTTGCTATTCATGATTCGGGCTGGAAGAGCTTTGATGTGACCCAGGCCGTGCATTACTGGATGCGAAACAAGAGGCGGGAGCCGATGTTCCTGGAGGTGTGGATTGAAGGGGAAAGGGTGGGCAGCTATGCCTCGGAAATGGCCAAAGCCGTGCGCTTCACCTCGCAGGACCCCAAGGATAAAGCCCTAGGCAAGCCTGAGCTGGTGCTTTACACTCTCGACTTGGATGACTACGGGTATGTATGAAACCTAAATCTGTGCTGTCTCTGGTGTAATTTTGCCCCTGAATTATTGTGGCAGGGGGGCAAACCCAGGGTAGGCAGCTCTTACCCTCACAAGTGCTTACCAGTTGTGAATGGAGTAGTTAGCTATTGCTGAATCCCACCTCTCCTCTTCCCTATATCTGTTGTCTGAATACTCAAACCCTGAGCACGGCCCAGGTTTCATGTCTCAGAGCCCACCTGTGCCATTGGCAGCAGGGCTGATTTCCCCCACTTCCCACTTTCCAGTTATAGCACCCATTCCTGTTTCTCCCTTGGTGTCCAGGAGCCCTGGGGACTGCAGGGAGGAGTCGGCGATGGGGAAATCCACCTGCTGCCGGCAGAAACACTACATCAGCTTCCGCGAGCTGCCGTGGGCTCAGCACTGGATCCTGGAGCCGGCGGGGTTCCAGGCGTTCCGCTGCTCCGGGAGCTGCCTGCAGCCGCCCCGCGCCCTGCGCCGCCTCGGCTCCGGGCAGCGCTCCTGCGCCGTGGCCGGGAGCTCCGCGCTGCCCATCATCTACCTCGTCAAGAGGGGTAACCGCACCGAGATTGAGGCGGCCGAGTTCCCCAACATGATCGTGGAGCGGTGCAGCTGCGTGACGGACGGCGTGGCGCTGGTGTGACGAGTGGGTGGCCTGGGGTGTCATCCATTCCCACCAGCCCTGCGAAGAGCCACCCCGGCCCCCAGCCCCGGGGCCAGTGATGAAGGTCCTGGGGAGTTCCTGCCTGCAAGGGTCAGCAGCACTGGGGCCCTGCTGGCCTGCAGAGAGAGTGCACTTAGAGGCACTGTCCGTCTAGATGGGCTCAAAGGAACATGCATTTCACATATGGAAGGAGTGCCTAAGGAACCTAGTGCTTCTTGAGGTCCCCTTGGTGCCAGCTAAATTTCACTGAATTTATTTCAGCCCCCACCCTGGAGTATTGCAAACAGCTCCAGGCAAAAGAAGAGTGCCCATCACCAGGTGAAGAAGAAATGTGTGGGCTCGGCTTTTCATTCTTAGGCTGCTGGGTCTGGTCCTTTGTCTGTGCAAGCTGTGTTTTTGGTGAGCTGCAGAGCAGAAGCACTTACATGTATATAATCTGTACATGCACACATGTACAGGGAGTATGAATAAATGTGTTATTGTCTACATGCTGTGTATCTACATATTGATTACAGACATATATATAGGTACATCAAATATTGCCTAGAGCTCAAAGAAACATATTTATGTGCATATATATTGCATGTACATATACATATCTACATGTACATAAAATATTATCTGAAACTCAAAGGTTTATATTTTTTGCCTCTGCACCACGGGATTAACAGTTTTAGGCAGAATTTAGAATCCTGGAATCAACTGGAATATTAGGACTTAGGTTTGCTTCCATGAGTAACAGTTTGTTTTTCTGATTCTGTATTACAGTTATTTCAATTTAGGGATATTTTTCAAGCTGTGTGTGCTTTCAAAATCAAGGAAACAATAAAACACAAGTATTAAAGTTGCCATGTGTTTCCTTATATTTATTCTTAGCTCTAAAGGTGGAGGGGGAAAGATCTGTCATACTTCCGTGAGTATCCAGTGCCCAGCTCCTATAAACATACACGCTGGAACAGCTACCCGTGTGATCCCACCTTCTCCCGGTGAAGTTTATCTGCTCCCCCAGGGACTAGGCTGAATCAGCAGGCAGAGCAGAGCCTGCACTGCCAGCGCTTCATCCCGAGCTGCTGCGGAGTTTAAGCCAACACTTTCTTAAGGAGAAAACCTAGGCTCTTATCTGCCAGCAGGAGGTGGTGCTCTCCCCGTGAGCCGCAGCAGTGGCAGAACCTGCAGGGAGGGGTCAGCTGATGCTGCAGTGCAGGAAGGGATGAGCTGCCTTCTATTTTAACCCCGACCCGTCCTGTTGGACGTCTGACCAACACATACCCTGGAGACACGCTGTGATAACGTGGTTTAATCCCTACGTGAACTGTTCTGAACTGCTGGCCAGGGTGCCAGTTAATGCTAACGATTTCCACCTTCATGTCAGACTCTTCCTCTCGGCTCATAACCCACTGAGATGGCAGTGGCTCTGGGGATGAAGCATTTGCTGCTGACTATCTCTGTTAGAGGGTGGGATGTGATCCCTGAGGCTCTGGTTGAACCTGCTGCTGGTGCAAGGACTCTGAAATGTGTTTGTCTGGCTAGACAGGGTGCCCATGGACCACAGGAAAAGAGGGACCTGTCTGCAGCGGTTCTGTATCATCCATCAGGAAGATATGAGTGTCCCGGCTGCTCTGCAGGACCCCGGGTCTGAGGTCACCCAGGCATCTCTGCCATCACCTCATGGGTAGGCTGGCACCTCTCACTTGTGTAAACACGTGGCAAAAGAGCTTTAAGGGGAGGAAAAAAGGCAAAAGTACAGACTCACCATTCACCAGCTCTGGGCTACAGGACTATGCAACTCTGGAGTCAGAATTGGATGAGCTGGAATGATCTCTGGCCATTCCCTTCTCATGACTATGTAGTATCTATCTTAATGGCATTGGCATTCAGCCCCAGGTCCTCTCCACCCAGCTCGGGGCAGGGCATAGCCCGAAGGCCAGGAGCCATCACCACGAAGAACAAAGGCGATGATCTAGCCACACACTGACCCTGGGGAAAAAAGTGTTTGAGCTGTTTGCTGCCTGAGAATGAAGAGCATTAACCCTGGCTTCCCTCCAGCCTCCAGCACTTGCACTTCAGACATCATTCATCCTCCATCCCAGGAGAAATTCCATGCCGTGCAATTTGGGGCAGGCTGTTGTGGGAAATGGGGAGCAGAGCATTGCAGGAGCGGCGGGGCGGACGAGGCTCCTCCCCTCCCCCAGGATCCTGTGCTGCGTCCGGCACCCCTTGCTTTGTCTGGCTGTCTTTGCTCGGGTGTCCTGTGGACAGGAGGTGCACAGAAGCGAGCGGTGGGTCTGTGTGCATGTGTGTGACACCTGGAGGGCGGGGAGGGGGAGGTGGTGGCCAAGGAGACCTGGTGTTACTGTGGGGAGAACTGTGGGTATTGCAGGGTGCAAATCCGTGAGCTGTAAAGCCCTGCCTGCCCTGCCGCCTGCATGGATACTTGGATTTATCGCTAGGACAGCTGCACAGATGTCACAGCATCTCTGCTGGGGCTGGTTTTGAGCTTACATTTGCACTGAAGCTCCCCACTTTTGCGGAAACAGGACACTGCTCCTCTAAACTCCAGACAGCTTTGCAACGAAAATGTTGCAGACTTGGAGGCTCGGCTGATTTGGAGAAGGCTCCAGAGACTTCTACACTGTAAACTCCTGGGCAGAAGGCTGTGGATGAAATAATGCCGCACCTGGGGCTTTTTCAGACATCAGCCCGTGCTACAGGTAATTATCTCCCAGTCTGTCATCTTCAATCCAGGCTGTATTTGCTGTGACACCTTCTGTGTGCTACTTGCATGGGTACAACTTGTAACGCACACAAAAGCTGCCAAGCTGTCATGTTCTCCTTTCCATCTGAGCAGCATCACAGTCCCTGAGGAAAGGCAGAACATCTCAGATACCTGGCAGCAACGTGGTTCAGCATTGTCATTGATGCTGTGCTGCAATAAAATAAAAAAGAACAGCAGTGCAGGGGCATAATGAACCACATAGAGCCAGAAACAATTTTAAAAAATTGAAAAGTGCTTTAAGGCAAAACCAGCGTTAAGCTGTCAGGCATCCTCCTGCACTGCTGAAAGCACAGAGCACCCAAGTGCTGCTCAAGGAGCAGGAGGTGTGTGCTCTTCACGTGGAGGACTTCAACAGCCCTGTTAGTCCCACACTCCAGGTTAGGTCCTTGTGTGAGTGTTCACGTGGCAGCGCCTGAACTAAATCTTGTCAGAAGTATGAGCTTATCATGAGTGTGAGCTCTGACTGGCTCACATGGCACTGCTCACAGGGTGACCTTTAAGGGCCTGCAGTAGTTAATGGAACTGGACTCAGGGTCTGGAGCTGGTCCTATCAGTCACAGGAGAGCTTTCCTTAAGAGAGAGGCCTGGGCATGCCAGCAGCACTTTCTCTCACTGTTATCTCTACCCATTATCTCCGTTCTAGGAGAGAGAACAAAAGTTTCAAGCCACATTAAATGCTGCTGTTAGCTGGACTACATTACCCTGTGTGATCTCTCCATGGTTTCACTTAAAACAAGGCTGCTTTACCATTTTCTTTCAAAATCTGTGAGAAGTTGCAGCTTTTCCCAGCTGGTGAGGCCTTATTTCCTCTCTCTCTTGTTTTTTTCCCCATTTGTACTTCACAGACTCCTAACAAGGGTGTCTGACACTTTGCCCTTCAGGGCAGCCTTCTAATTGCCTGTGTAAGTGGAAAGTCAGATGCCCAATCCACATCCCAGCAAAGGTGATAATCAGGGAGCTCCTCTGGCTTTGGCTGGCAACGGCTGCAGTCTGGGAAAGGGGAACCCAGGGCAAATGGGGGGTGGGGAGGTGACGGGAGTGGCAGGGAGTGTGACAGAGATCCTGCAGGACTTTGATGTTTTTAGAGGACTTGGTGCTCCTCTGTCCACTCCTGGAGCAGGTGTAGGAGAGCAGTGCGAACAACATCAGCACATTTAAGAATAAAATAGAATAAAAAGCTCATCATGGCTGCTGCCTCTGGCCTGTGCTCTGGAGATGCTTGGGCACTCCAGAGCTGCTGGGGTGCCTTGGTTTCCTGTGGTAAAACTAGCAGGTGCAGCATGGCCAAGAAAGATTTTTTAACCATGGCAGGAGATAATAGATTATCTGGAGATGCTGGACCCTGGAAAGTCATGTAAACAATCCACAGCTCTCAGTATTCTTTTTTAGATAATTGTTAAATCAGGGTGGGTTTTTGTTTGCTTTTTCCAAGCTATTTATTAATTTTGTTTTAAAGCTTTCCTAAAGTTTATTTATGGGTTTTCTATTTACATTTTCCTTCTGATTTTACTCATGACGATTTTGCCTCTTTGGAAGCCTGGGATGCCTCTATCCCCTTTGAAAACCTGTTTTCTGGTTGCTGAAAATGAATGTAATCAGTTCATAATTATTACTTCCCGGGTGACCACCAACTTCCTGCCCAGTGGTCCCTTGGGTGGTGCCAGGTGGTTACCAGATGCTGGGTACAGCATCTCACTGGCCATAAAAGTGCCATCTATTGCCACCAGACCTCAGAGAATTGTTTAGGTTGAAAAAAACCTCCGGAATTATGGAGTCCAACCATTAAACCAGCACTGCCAAGCCCCCCACTAAACCATGGCCCACATCTTCCCAGCTTTGAAGTACCTCCAGGGATGGTGATTCAATCACCTCCCTGGGCAGCCCATTCATGTCTTCACTGAGATGTGCAATATTCCCAGCAGATGTTTCACAAGCTGGTTGGCTCATTATAAACACTCCCTTCCATACAGCCCAGACAGGTCTTTCAAGAGCTCCTTTCTGCCCTACAAGTTTTGTGCAAATTCCTGCTTCCTTGTGCCTGGTTAGAGGCAGCCAGCGAAGGCAGCAGGGAGAAGCAGGACAGGCAGCTCATGCATTCAGGCCACCGGGACACTTTCCAAGCCTGCACAGCTGCTGGCTCTAAACCCAGACTAACTCCCCTGGATTAGCCCAGCCTCTAGCAGGGCTGGAAAGCAGTGGTGCC